TATATATATACCCTATAATATATATATTATATGTATAAGAGAGAGAGAGAGAGAGAGAGAGAGAGAGATAGTATATAATATTAATAGGTCAGTGAATTTGATCGTCGCTGATCTTATTTCCTGCCAATTCAATTTTTCTTTAATCCGGAATATCCGAAAAAAATGTTTTTTTATTCCAAATACTTACTTTAATTATTGTATATCAGATATAGCAGAACCCATCACTACTTCATTCTGTGATAACACAATTCAATTTTCTTTTTCGTTGTAAATATGGTATATATATATATATATATATATATATATATATATATATATATATATATATATATATATATATATATATATATATATATATATATATATATATATATATATATATATATGTAGGTATGTGTATGTACATTACGTTTCTCTCTGTCCTTATCCACTTTGATAACACAACATTAAATACATGTAAAGGTCATATAATGATATATATTTTTTTAATTTAAAATAAGAATGAACAACACTGCACTCTACGGGACTTTCTTTCATTCTTTTTCTCTCTCTTGGCACACACACATATATATATATAATAACACTACTACTACTACTAATAATAATGGTCTCTCCCGTCGCTTTCGATGTATGAATATCTTTTAGATCAGTTTTTATGCTTTTTCGTATGAGACAACAATCCTACATGGGATTTGCAAACCATCATACACACACACATATATATATATATATATATATATATATATATATATATATATATATATATATATATATATATATATATAACAGAAATCAATATTACCTCATAAGTATAGCTATTTCATTTAATTGAACTAGCTATACTTATGAGGTATTTTTATATTTCTCCATTATACAATTTATATGCCATCATGAAATCAAAATATTACGCTCATTTTCTGTATCAGTTTTTAATACTTATATTAATAGGATTCATTTGGATTATATGCATACGGCTTATTACCTCTACAATATATATATCTATCTATGTACATATATATATATTAAGAAATGGACAAAGTCCGACAATTTATTTATTAAAGACATTTTTATGTTTAACGTTCTTTTTTTACAGATACAAGTATTTAAGCAGATGCTCTGTTTATGATAAACAGTATTAAATAACATTTACCGGCCTGAATGTCCGAGAAATTTTCATAGAAAATATTCGTTCTTTGACAGGATTCGAACCTGCATCCTATACGGAGCCGTCATTTACGCTGACGTGCCTTACCGTCTCGGCCACAAAACAGTAAATTCGACCTTGCCTACCGAAAGGTCCTCATTACCCTTCGAATTTCAAATATAAAATATTATTTGGCTTATAAATAGAGTAAATCCATTTTTTCGAAGTTTATTCTCAGCATCGCATTTTAGGTTTAATTTTAACTTTAAGATTAAAGTTTTGTTTCGAAAGATAGTAATTTTATAACCGTTTTTAATCACAGACTTTTGCCGGTTTTTCTCGATCTATAATCTCTTTTCCTATCCTAACGTAAATCATGACAATATATCATAGGAATTGGATTAAATCCGGCAATTATTTTAATATATTTTCTGGTTGGTAAATACAATTAATACTGTTTAATTAAAGAGCATATACTTAAATATATTAAAATAATTGTCTGTTTTAATGCATTTCCAAAGATAAATTGTCATTGTTTACGTTAGCTACGTCAGTTAAACCCTATACATCTCCTTGGTTCACACCTGCATGCACAGCCGCTATAGCCCACAGGAATTACTTCTTTCCGCTGAACCAGAGCGATTACAACAGACGTCTCTTTGTCTCTTTTCGTAACGAGTGCAAGCCTGTTCTCAAATACGCGAAGTTACTTTTTACTAATAAAATGAAACAACGTATTGCATCTCCAAACTTCGGTTCTATAGATTATTGGCGTTTCTGCAAAAGTGTACTGAACAACAGTAAATCCTCAATCCTTCCTCTATTCAATGAATTCGAAGTCCTGATATTTATTGCAGATAAGGTTGAATCCTTTGCACAGGAATTTTCTTCCAACTCAACACTCGACTCAATTGGAGTACGCACACCTGATTTCACAACTTGGACAGAGGATCTACTGAGTGAGAGTATGAGACATTATTTCTAAATTAGACTTCCATAATGCAAAGGGATGTGACGGGATCCCAGGCGTCGCCCTAAACAAATGAGCTCCTGAGCTGGCTCCGGTTCTCTCAAAATTCTACAACTATTGCCTCACTGCTTCCTGCTTGTTGGAAATCCTCCTCTTTGGTTCCCGGTTGTTTTTCTTTTTTTTTCAAGAACTCTGGAGAACCTTCTGAACATATTAGAACTATCCCCCTATTAGTCTCTTACCTCTTTTCGACAAAGTATTCGAGACTTTAATCAATGCTGGAGTGATTAAGCATGTTGCCTCTCACCATCTACTCTCTGACAGACAATACGACTTCCGCTTTGCCAGGTCTAACGCTGATGTGCTAACGGCCATCACTAAATATGTATATCAAGATCTTGATAATAACAGCGAAGCTCGAGATGTAACTCTAGATATCTCGAAGGCGTTTGACAGGGTTTGGCATGCTGATATTCTTCACAAGTGTTACGGTATTACTGGATGTGTGTTTGATTTAATCCTATCAATTCGTAAAATGATGGTCGTTTGGAACAGCCACGCTTGGTGCACAGATTACGCGTGTTTAAGCGTGCTACTAGATTGGCATCTAGGTCCCACCCGTTTAATGTTGAATTAGATTAATGTAACTGACACTTCTATTACAACAGTTTCTTTTCTCGCACTTCCCGCCTGTGGAACTCGCTTCCGTTTACTTGCTTCCCTGATAACTACAATCTTCAAAAATTTAAATTCAACGTCAATCACCATCTTCTATCTTCTTGAACCTCGTTCAGCTTTTATCTTTTCCTCGGTCCAACCTATAGCCAGACGTTTCTCTCACATTCATTTTATGTAACCTCTTGCATATTAGTGACATTCCATCCTTGCTTGAGGGGGTGATTAAAAAAATATATATGTATATGTATGTATAGGTAAAGGTCGGTTAATCCTTTTCTGAACACACACAAATACTAGAGCGGCTAGACAATCCATGTAGCAGACTCCAAACCTAGCACATTTGCGTTGGTTCAATAGCCTGTGATTTTTCTGGAATTTACGCTGAGAGGGCATTAGTTACAGTTTGAAGGCGCATAATCTGGCATGAACAACAGTTTGAAAACAAAAACAGCCCTCAATCACTCTCGGTCAAGATAACTTCTGACTTCATGTTACCGAAAATTTCGACTACAACCAAACAGTTCCTTCTACAAAATATCCCACATGAAACCAGGATATTTTTTCAGGTATTTTCCAAAGGTGCCGCCCGCTAGGATCGATTCCCCAGAATTATGCCTTCAAGTAGTCAACTTCCTGACAAATCATCCATGTTGAGATTCGAACCTGTCGTCAGAGAGCTAATGACCTAACCACTCAGCCGCTTACCCATCTCTGCCTCTCTCTCTTTCCCTGTCTCTCCCACAGTTATATACATACATACATACATACATACATACATACATATAGGGGATGAGAAAGAATGAAGGTATTTGTAGGCAAAAAAGGAAGAGAATTGTACCTCACATTACAATAGATGAATTGATAGGAATAAGAAAAATGATTTCGATTTAGCCCAAATGAAAGCATTACAAAAGTCAGCATTAATGTCTGTGTCGTAACTTCCGGTTGGCTTTGATTCTGCATAACTGCTGGCGCCACTTGCTTGCTCATGTGTGTTAGAATCATTTATTCGTATGTCTGCCGGACATTAGGTCAATCTTTACTTTGTTTTGTATATTTTCTTTCTTTATTTAACATAACTTACACCTCTATGAAAATGGACGACCGACGATTGTAAATGGAAATTTATTTGTTGGTTTGGAAAATCAAAAAGAATTTTCTGTGAGGATAAAAGAAACAAATCGAATTTTGAAAAAAAAATGTTTGCAAAAGAAGAAGGTGGAGTGATTGAAAGAGATGGCGCCGTATATAGGAATGGAATGGTATGGATAATATGGAAAGGAATAAAAAGGAGTTAGAAACATATATAGTAAAAGCGAAAGGGAATTTTTTTAACAGTATTTACTATCCTGAGCTTTCTATTACACAAAGCCACAAGTCTGGGTCACCCATTTAGGGAGTGAATTCATCGCATATAACTAACGGCCTGCTAGACTCTCTACCAACAATTTATCCATGGCTAGACGCTCAATATCATTTATATGTTTTTTTTTCTTTCATATGGTTGGCGCCCCATCTCCACATAAAACAATCTTTTTTTCTGAAATACAAACGTCCCCTTTCACCTCTTCTCTTTGATTCTAGTATTTTTTTTTCTTTTCATTTCGTTTAATAAGAGACTGTTTTGGTTGCATTACTCGACCTGAATACAACAATATGGCAGAGAGACGCCTAAAAAGATGTCGGTCGAAATGCTATTGAGTCAGAAGAACAGACGATTGTACCCCGCCAGTAGTTTTCATTTGCCCATATCTATCTATCTATCTATCTATATATATATATATATATATATATATATATATATATATATATATATATATATATATAACTATGCACACTACAGCTTACTGATTTAGATACACTCGCAAGCCACAATCCGGTGTTCGTCCATTAGCTAATAACAGGTATTGCCTATTTAAAGACATCTCGGAAACAAAAACTGGATAAAGCAAATCTCGACAGAATGAAGGGCTTTATATAACACTAGTTCTGTACCCGTAAAAAATGATGCGATTTTTTATATATAGATCGGCATTTTTAATACAGTTTTGCAATATAAGCAGATTCATCCACACGTATAACTGCGGCAAAATATTCTTCCTATACCAGCTCTCCACATCCTTTTTGTATTTAGCTAATGTTAGGATAAATATAACAAGAGAAAAACATAATTTAATATTCACGCGATATGAAATTCTTCAGTAGACATTAGGGAATAGTGAAATATTTTTCCGAATATTGAAGTGCCATCCAATATAGAAAGAGAAGAGAGAGAGAGAGAGAGAGAGAGAGAGAGAGAGAGAGGTGAAAAGAGAGTAGAACACTGAGCAAGAGTATATTTTTTGTAACATAAAAATAAATCGAAATGCGATGGAAAAAAAGACAATAGTTATACAAAGGGTTTTATTTAAACATTTGTATTGATTAAGCATTTAGAATTGTCCAAGAATCATTATAATGTATTTCGTGCAAATATCGGCTTTGTTTTGTCAGTATAATTCAAATATAAATTACGCTATCAAAATACCATATCAAGAAAAAAAAAAGACAGTTTAACACACTCAAAAATTTATCGCATATCCAACAGGCATTAATTGTAAAACTCTCAACTCCTAAGTGAAAATATTGATCCATTTTTATATAGTTTAGGAATAATTCCCTTCATTCTAGATAACAGGTTTATTTAATTCGTCTGTAGTAATACGAAGTCGTTTCTTTGTTGGAGAGATTTGACTATGCCTGAATTTGTATTAACGAGTTCGTCGTATTTAAAGCATTTCCAATTGTTTGAACATTTTGGTGGTCGTCCAATTCTTTTTTACAATCATTTAGCTTTTCAGTATACTTACCAAATACAGCAGTGATTACTTCTCTTGTTACATTGCTTACTTCTCTCCTACTGTATAGGACATGTTAAGGATTCTAATGAATGCGGTTGAAACTATTTCATAAATGAATTCTACACGTGGAAGATTTTTACAGAGATTCATATAATATAAAAACATAGGGCGCAAAAAATTAGAATTAATTAAATTATTTTTACGCATCTAAAGTTCACTAAAAATTAGAAGAAAATCATTTATGGAGTTACCGTAGTGTGGAAGTGATAGTGAGTGAATTACTGGGTGTGTGAATGAGCCACATAGCTGGATTGAAATTTAGTAGTTGGCTGCCCGAGGAAATAATTCATCCTTATCGGATAAATTCCGGAAATTGTTGTAATACCATTCAGTAAAAAGGAGCTATAGATAGAGAGAGATAGAGACAGAGACAGAGACAGAGACAGATACAAACACACACACACACACACACAGATATGGCTATATCTATTTCTTTATATTACTAAATAGAACGGAACCTATTGTAGCTAAGTGAATTTCATTAGCAGTCAAGGTGAGGCAATCAACACTCAAAACTGTGATCTAAATCATAAGACGATTGCCTCTTTCACTGCATCAAATGGTTTAGTTAAATAGATAAGCAATTTAATTATAAAATCAGTCAACATAATTGTCCCTAATCTGTCAATATCTCAAACATAAGGAATGAATGACAAAAAATGTGAGTATGTAAATGTCTTGTATTTATTCAGCAATAAATGTTAAGTTGGGCATGATATAAGACTCATACAGGTAGATATAAATGATAAAAACACATTTAGCATGTAGCCTTTGTTAATCAGTTCAATCTAAGGAGGAGCATAACTGCAGGCAATAGCACATTTTCGAGAGATGTCTAGGGTCAATTCATAGAGCCTCTAGCGTTCCTAAAGAATGAAACGCCGAAATGACTTGTCTCTAGTTCAGGATATTATCTGCCCGTAAGAGTCCCACATTAGACTTCTGTTATATTAGGTGCCAGGGAAAGTATCGATAAACACTCAAACCGCCTTTTTAATGTATTTTTACTGTCCTGCTCAGCTCCTAGGGCATCCGCTATAAAACAGCCCTCGCTAAGAGTAAGATAGAATCAAACTCTAATTCCTAAGGTGTGCTAATGAATTCTGACTTCCAGATATTTTATGTTATTGGATTACAATAGTAATGGTAATATTACCTTATGGGGAAAAATTCAACATTTACTGACCAAGCAACAAGTGATTCTGTCGGTGAAATTTATAAAAAAATCTTTCTCTTAAAACAATTTTTTCAGAAAGGTAATTTTCTTTAGTCCAGTAGCTTTATCATTCTTTCCAGTAAGGATGGAGGTTTCCTACCTAACCTCTTAGCCTTTACGTCCATACGACATTGAAACAAGGTTCTCGTACGATCACCGAAGTTAATCAATGTCAACATTTGTCAGTACCAAGATTGATGATCGCTTTGGGATAACATGTGCTGTACGATTGGATGTGCGGGTGGTACAATGGTTAAAAGTTTGAAATTAGATCTAGGGAGACGTTCCAACCTAATTTTTTGATTTCAATGTGTGTGATAAAAATCTTGTGAAATATTTTCTATTCGAGTTATATGAGCTATCCATTTTAGTTGTTGCTGCTGTTGAAAGTCCTCAAGTGATGTGGTTTCTGCTATTTAGTACAGGCAGTGAATCGGTAGAGACTCTATACCATTCTTATTATGCAGACATCAAAACGGCGTTTTAGGAAATTTTGTCTTTAAAATCGCATACTTAATTATATATAGGAGATAGACACCCCCCCACACACACACACACATATATATATATATATATATATATATATATATATATATATATATATCATATGCTATAGGACATATGTATATATATAATATTCTATAGGACATATTCCAGACGATGGTCTCTTGGCAAATTCCATAATTGCTGCTAGCCATATGAGAAATCTTACAGAGCTTTCAGCGACTGTTCTCATAGACAAGTCTCACGAATTTTTTTCACAGATTTTCTGTCGTTATACTGATTTTTGTTCGCTCCGGGCGTTTGTAAAATTGAACATTGTCATGGAACATACGAGCTTTCAAAAGCCTAGGATGTTTTCTGTCGAATGTTCATCACCACATACACACACACACACACACGCAAAAAAATAATTTTGAGTCACTTGGCAGTAGATTTGCTGAGTTTCAAGCAAAAGTTTGGGTGTTATCTGCTCACATTATTCAGTCACCATAAAGACTCTTGCGTAATAATTAAACACCGATAAATTGCATGAAGACTATTAACTCAGTAGCCTGGATATTACGTAGCATTAGATAAAAGTTTATTTCCGTTAAATGCACAATATTAGAACGCACGGGTTTGAATTGTATCATGTGATCCTATCTCACACAGATATATACGCACACAAACATATATATATATATATATATATATATATATATATATATATATATATATATATATATATATATTGAACAATAATAAAAATTAAGAAATTAAAATCTTCAGACACACTGGGTTGTATATTAATATTCCTTCGTTTTTATTTATTATTTTATTTAGATTCCTTGACTAGTTTCGGCCAACATGGCCATCATCAGGAGAAAAATAAATTTTTGTTTGCTGGTTGCAGTGAACTGCAGAAATGAATGTCTTGATGGAAAAATGAACTTTTGTCTGTAGTTTTATAAATGAATATATATATATATATATATATATATATATATATATATATATATATATATATATATATATATGTGTGTGTGTGTGTGTGTGTGTGTGTAGTTAACACATGACGAGGATCTCAGAGGAGAACTGAAGTAGTTGTGTAAAAAAAAAAACTACGGCCACTTCGTTGATGAATCACAACTTAATATGAAGAAGCTCAATAAAGAACTAGAAAGGGTTATTAGAAAAATGTTATTAATGAAACAGATCCGAATGAATCTATTCTGCGTAAATACTCACACACACAGACACACACACATATATATATATATATATATATATATAGTGTATTTACGAAACAAACCTTTTTTCATGCAAGTTTCATTAAATATGACAGACAAGGTGCTTTAATTTTTTATATAATTTCTTATGTGATCTTAAGAACTTGTCTGTCATATTTAATGAAGCTTGCACACACACACACACACACACATACACACACACACACACATATATATATATATATATATATATATATATATATATATATATATATATGAAATCTCCATTGAAAGGAAGTATACATCAGAGCTTAGGATAAAGAAAACGGCTCGTCATGCTTAAATGTCAACTATAAAATGCGAAACGGACGTAATTGCTCCCAACAGACCAAGTTGCATTGAAGTAGACTGACACCAGTGCCCTTGGTAGACTATGTTTTCGTTAATATTAAGCGGCTTTTTACTTTTCTAACGAGCCAGACAATTGTGAATGTCGAACAATTATACTGATGTTGTCACCTGCTATCGAACAATTGTTTTTGATTGACTCATTTTCTACGATTTATCAACCCAATGAAGGTTATTCATGCCAAAAAATATGTTTAGATACTAAGATTTTTTTTAGACAATAATGCTTTAGTGATACAAGTCTTACTAATTAACCCATAATTGGGGAGAAAAGTGTTGTATTCATACATTTCCTAAGGTTATTTGCGCGTAAGTGAATATAACGAACCCTTCGGGAATTTGAACACGACTTTCCGATTAATAATTCCGAGACATTACCTATTAAACCCCTCGCACATCGAGGTTTACAGCACCTGATATTCCCAAGCGATCAACCTTTTAGGCACTGACTTGGCTCTACGTTGCTTAACTTCGTTGATCGTAAGTAAACGATGTTTCAGAGTGATCTAGAAATTGTTACCAATATGATGAATAGCGGCAAAATTCTCTGTTATAACTAAATTCTTGTTGGAGTATTTGAGATTTTAACTTAGATATTAGTAAAATATTTTCTCTTACAGTCTGGTTTCGCTTATACACCTTGTGAGTAATGTCTTTGTTTGGGGATGTCTTACTCTGTTATTGAATTGGATTCAAGATGATTTGACAATGCTGTTGAAAGCAATGGAGAAATGATTGTATTTTTTCCACTTACCCTGGAATCGGAATGAGATTCAAAGATGTTTGTCCATAGTGATAATATCAATGAAAGTTATGAACATTTCGCGTTTTCTAACACTGAAAGATAATGGCCTAAATACATAGATGGTGAGAAAACCTGTAAAAGTGACGTTTGTCTGTTATATTCATAGAATGGTATTTAACAAATTGTGTCTCAAGAGACTTTCTAGTATAAATACATTTGGAAACGTATGAATTCCATATCCTGTAAAACATCTAGCGTGAGGATCCTCTGACCCTAGAATCCACAATAACGTCTACAGGGTTCGAACTCTCTTAAACCTGCGTGATTCGCTGGATTAGTCTTTTGTATATAAAGCATAGTAAATGCGCCGATATATTTTGACTTGCAAAATCTAACAGTTCATTTTTAGGCCACACAACCTTCTCAGTTTGAAATTGTATGAATGGATACTACATATTTATTTTGAGGAATGTGCTCTCTCTCTCTCTCTCTCTCTCTCTCACTTTAAGAAAAGAGTTCGAATTCTAGTCAAATCTATTACATTTGCTTACGTGTTAATAACCTTGGGAAAGTTATGAATCCTTTTCTTCTCCCCAAGATATGGGTAAATAGCAGGACAGACCGGGTTTTATAACCGTGGATAGCAACTGGTCTACCACAGAAAGAAATAGCAACCTACTGCGGGAAAAATCTGCCTCATCAGTCATGTATCGAAAGATACATGATCGCATAAGCAAGCATCACGCATGGCACATAACTGACTGACTGATTTTCTATTAATTTCTTAACTGAATTGACAGTCATTTTTGAATTTATATGTCTTTGGAGAGATAGAAGCAATGGCAAAGATAAATTATCTGCATTATAGTTTCTTAAATACAGACAAACACAAAGAGAGACATTAGCTTATAAGAGAAAAGTGGAAAAGCGACACTTCTGATGAAGAAGAAAACAACATCAGAGGATATACAAAGAACTGGATATAACGTCTTATCAAATAAGAAACAATTATTTAAACATATACAGATTTTCTCAGTTACAGATTATTCATAGCAAATGTTTCTCTTTTTTATCAAAGTCCGTTGGGTTATTCAGATGTAGGTAAGAGTCTGTATTTATTCATGAAAGCGGGAATTTACAAAAAGGCTAAATCATGATTTATCCCTTGACTGTTAGAAATAGCATGCATGTAAAGAACTGGGCGTTGTAGTTTAGGTGATCTTATTATAAAAGTCTGTACTAATTTTTCTCATCTTGACTTCATGTTAATCTTTACATGTTCACAGAGCCTATACGCTAACATCCGAACGCAACAAAGGCACATTGTGAAATATGGGCGAGTCGCGTTTTGGAAATTCTGTTATTTGGATTAAATGATGAACGCCTTTCCGGTTTCTGCAGTTTTTCATGATGGCGGAGACGTTTATAAATTCATTTTTAATTTTCTATAAACATATTAAGCAAATATATCTTTCATGCTGAAGGTGTAACGAAGTACAATGTAAATGACATTGGCATCATCATAAGAGTGGGGGCTGAATGTAAACTAGCAGATTTAAAACAGATATATGAGGTGGTGATAAAATAAAAAACGATATACATTTAAACTTAAATGTATATAAAACTCAGCCTTAAAACAAGAGGGAGGGAAAGAGAAAAAAGAAATAGAGAAACATAAATACCTAGTTAGCTGGATAGATAGATAGATAGATAGATAGATAGATAGATAGATGAACAGACATAGATAGAGAGATCGATCGATAGATAGATAGATCGATAGATAATGAACAGACATAGATAGATAGATAGATAGATAATGATTAGACATAGATAGATAGATAGATAATGAACAGACATAGATAGATAGATAGATAGATAGATAGATAGATAGATAGATAGATAGATAGATAGATAGATAATGAATAGACATAGATAGATAGATAGATAGATAGATAGATAGATAGATAGATAGATAGATAGATAGATGAACAGACATAGATAGAGAGATCGATCGATAGATAGATAGATCGATAGATAATGAACAGACATAGATAGATAGATAGATAGATAGATAGATAATGAATAGACATAGATAGATAGATAGATAATGAACAGACATAGATAGATAGATAGATAGATAGATAGATAGATAGATAGATAGATAGATAGATAGATAGATAGATAGATAGATAGATAGATAAAGAGAGAGAGGGAGAGAGAGGTGGGAAGTAGATTCTCTCTCGTTGGTTTCCGGTCTTGCGTTAAAATCCAAGCATCTACTTTTTAAAACTTTCCAAGACAAACTTCAAAATCGTCTTTTGATATACCTATCGATTTATCTTCAGTCTTTTCCTCCTCCCTTCCAATGACGCTTTTATCTTTTGAAAATAGGCGGGTAGAATTGAGTAATATGATATTCTATTAAAAAAACAAAATTTAAAACATGAAAAGTGCAAAATTCGAAGCATAAATAAATGCGTTCTGATGGTGAATGAGACGGTAATACAGTAACCAGGCTCAGTAAATGCAGTTTCTTTGCCGAATGAATAAATCCCCGGGAGAGGGTTTGCTTACCGATTCGTACTAAACTCGTTTTTTATTATGAGTTTCCAATTAACATTAAAGTGTATTATTTACTTCCATAGATATTCTAAAAGACCATGTACTTTTCAGACTGAAATTCGATTAAGGCTGGAGAATGCAGCGGCCGAAACGTAAAATAATCAGTAAGTATGAAAACATTAATGAAAATTAATCAGACTATAATGCTATTTTTATCTGAGGCCTGAGAATGTCTTTTAAACTGGAAATAATTCTTCTCTGGTTCTCGTCCTTAAAACAAAGTCAATCCTTTATTTTGAATTAAATATGCCCCGAACTTTTGCAGAAATACGTAGAAAGGTGCAGTTTTATCTTTTATTTTATACACGTTTCGCTTATATATTTCAGTACGCTTCAGAACATCAGCAGATCTTTCTCTCAAGCGTCTACATTCCCCAAAATCCCCAACATGCGCTTCTATTAACAAGGTGTGTCTCCAGCTGACGGACCCTCGTAGATCAAGTTAATTCGAATGAAAAGAAAAAATAAATACCAAAAATATCTCACTTTCATGTCAGAAAAATAAATAAAACTCTTTTTCCATTTTTTTCTCTTACACATTTTTTTTTACTTGAAATTAGAAAAATACCATTTAGTTTTTTTTTTTTTACTATTTTCCCTAATTCTCTACAAAATAATTTCTTCGCTTTAGTAATTTTAATTCTATTTCTACCAGACAAAAAAAACTGAGAAAAGTAATGAAACTCGTTTTAAGGAGTAAAAAAAAAAGGAAACCAGAAAATAGGGGGATAGTGTGTCATAGAAAAAGAAAAGGGGTTTGGATTTTCAACAGGTAAAGCATTTATTAAATCAAATGAGAAAAATACGAAAGCGAAGTGATGAGTGAAAAGAAAGAGGGGTAAAGTAGAGGAAGATAAACTTGCATAGCAGAGAAACTGGCAAGAGAATTGGGAAGGGGAGAAAGTAAAAAAAAAAAAGCAAGAGTTAAGATGGACAAATGAAAATAGTGTAAGACACGAAGGAAAGAGAAAGAGTTATATAGAGACAAAGGGAATATATCAAATGAGGAAGAAACGGAAAAGAAGGGGTAAATTTTGCTTTTGTTTCCCGAGCGCTAATATCCCTTAAAATTTTTCCAAAATCTTCATAATTGCGTGCAAATGTACATGTTGAACTCGGATTAACAATTAATTTATGAAGAAACCTTCATAATTTTGGAGTTATCGACAAGAAAAAATCGGACTTCTTTTTGGTCATTCGTCCCCTATTACTGCCATCATGTTTACTAATTTACTGCGTAGTACCTACGCAGGCGTAATCAGAAAACTTGGCCTATTTACTTCTTTTACAGACTTTCCTTGCAGAAAATCACTACGCACTACCGTAAAGAAATGTATTTTTTTTTTTGCTATTCAAAACGGAAAAAAAGGTCCTGCTGTATTATTTGATTTGTTTTTGTTATAAATAAAACTACACTTACCAAAAAAAACAAAATGCATTTCTTTATATTAATGCGTAGTGATTTTCTTTTGATTTTACTTTTTTCCAGATTTTCAGATAAGGCGTTTAGCCATCTTGACACCATTTCTCGTAAGATTCACTGAAAAATCCTTTGAGTTTATCAGCTAGAAAGAGAACTGGATAAAACCGTTTTCTGTCAGTTTCACTGTCTTCCCAACTGAGCAATGGTGAGAAAAAAAAAGTTGATTCAGCCCTTCATTAATGGTACCTACATTCATACTCTGGCTTCATCGTCAAAGTCCATTCAACAACCATCAAGAAAACGGTGAATGAGTTTTAAAAAAGAAGGAACAGTAGGAGGTCAAAACAGGAAAAGGAATCATCGTTTCAACTTAGAGCTAAAGCGATCAATTAGAAATGATCCGACTCAATTCATAAGACGTTTGGCACGTGAAAGAGGAGTTTTAGTTTATACAGCCCAAAGAGCAGTGAATAACGTGAAAATGAAATGGTACATTGAACCTGAGAGATACCTTGTTACTCTAAAACAGAAATTTAGAAGGTTAAATGATCTTGGAATATATATATATATATATATATATATATATATATATATATATATATATATATATATATATGATAAACGTGCAATCAATTTACAAATTCATGAATTATTCACACAAAAAACTAATGCAAAGGTTAATGATTTAATTGGCGAGAAATAACTCATTTCCAATAGCATTTTCGGATACAACAATACATATATTTTCGTTGTCCTCTTATTACTAAGAGAAAAAAACAAGAACAACATCTATTCTATACCTGAAGATGTCTGTAGGAACAGACGAAAGCTTGTAGTAAAAATAAAAACTAATACGGCAGAAATTTATATAAACAAGGATCATTTCATTCATAACGGATTCGGAGGTTTTTGTATATTATTTGAATTGTTTGCGATGATGGATTTCTCGCCAATAAAATCATTAACCTTTGCATTAGTTTTTGTGTGAATAATTCATGAATATATATATATATATATATATATATATATATATATATATATATATATATATATATATATATATATATATATATATATATATATGAATTTTATTTCATCCTACATGAGCTTCCGATAGTTAGCTATGATTAATTAATGACGAGCATATAATTATCATTTTAGGATTGATTTTCAATTTTCATCGTAATTCTTCTGTTAAGCTTGGAGAGTAATTATACATTCTTATTGCTCAAAGTAGAGTTAAATAATGTTATAAAACCCCATTCCAGTAAGATATCTTTAATTAATTGTGAGATATAGCGGTTCAGAGCTTAATCTAAGAATTGGACAATTTTACTGTTACACATGGTATATATATATATGTTTGTGTATGTGTTGGTTCATTATGTATTTATCTATCTATTTAAAGGCGATGCTTATAAATTCCCCTGAAATTTTAGATCTTAATATTTTTTTTCATTTTACACTTACGCTAATTCAGCTGCCCAAAATCAATATTCAATGAGTGCCTGTTACGAAACCACTTAAAAGCTAAACTTTCCACATCTTATGAAGAGGCATAACTTACAAAAATAGTCTCATTTATCAAATCCCACGTCATTTGTTTCGGTAAGCACCTGTTGTTTCCTTTGGTTATTTATTAAATTTAATTATGAATATTCCAAAGGGTAATGAAATCTAGTGTGTATCAAATTTACAAGTGGGGAGACCTATCTAGCTACCTTTAAAATCTGCACTATAAATCTAGACGTTTACGTTTTGTCTTGTACACATGGCCAGTAAACCATTCATTGTGTTAATAGATTCAGGTTAGTACAATATGAGAAGGCAAGATTGTATTGCGCCAATCTTGTAAATAAAAATCGTCTAGGGTTTTTGAAATTCATTTGAAAACTAAGACTTTTCCCTGTGCTTGAACATTGGATATCAACAACCGTTCCAGCCATTGAGTAGTTCTGTTTATGAAATATAATATTGAAGATTGTAATGCAGCGATATTTTTATAGGGAAGATTTTATATTTTATAGGGAAGTTTTTATATTTTATTGGGAAGTTCTAGTTTTAGAAATAGCATTAATAAAATGAAATCGAACTTCGCACATTGGTAAACTGGGAGAAACATACAACTATCTCGTCCACAAGGGAAGGGAATTTTCTTTCAGCATTTACGAAGTTGAACTTCAACATCAAATTCAGTAGTAATTGTCGAGACGAGCTTGTTATCCATTTCTTCTCAGCGAGAAGAAAACACCCGTATCCGTTATGGAATCCAGAGTTTAGCTCAATATGTTACGGAAAAGGAATAATTAACAGAGTAATAAATGTAGGAAGATTGAGTTCCCAGAATCTTCCTTGTGTAGGGGGCCTGGGAATTTTCAAATCAATATGTGCAATCATTATTACCAGGGATAAAAAAACGGCTCTAGCGAGAAATACGAATTTAGCATAGCTGCTAGCGAAGAGCATTACTTCTTAAACATTTATATTAAAATAATATAAGAAATATTTTTAAAAAAATGATCTATCAATTTAATATTATCAAAAACCTAGCTTATCTAGATCAATGGCGCTTTTATCCTTCTACGAATTACTTATCATTGAGCTTCACACACTTAAACAAGGGTTCCTTCCACTTTTGATAAAACAGTTTTGTCATCACATTCTCTATAAGATCAACCACACTCTAAAATATCCCTTCTGTCAAAGGGAACTTTTTAAGTTTAAGAAATAGATAGAAATTGCATGGAACGAAATGCTGAAAGTAGAAATAACGGGTGACATTTCTGCGTAAGACAATACTTTGCAGAATAAACCTACACGAGAGATAATGAATAGGCAGTCGAGATATTCAAAATAAATGGATAAATCCAGAATCATCGTTGAAATCGGAAGAGCTTTCACGTTATTTCGATGTCTGATTTTCTATGATTGTTGCCTGCGTACGTTCTACATTTCAAGGTATTCTATTTGTTGAAATTCTTTCAGTATGTGGATCACTTTCAACAGACTTCCGCTTAGATTTCAAAGCGTCGGTACAAAAGGTTTATCACGGTTTCACTCATTGAAACACCTTCGGAAGTCTTCTTGATTATTCGAATAATTTACGGTGACTAATGTCGAAATTTTAAGCAAAATTTGATCCACCAGAGCTGTGAATGCGACGATCACACAAGACATATCTTAAATTGAATGTGTCTTCTTACTGAATGA